TGTGTTATGCCAATTGAGCTAGATGTTCCCCGAGACCATGGTCCCCACAGCCCTCCGCCCAGCAATTCAGTCCCTCAGGGAGTTAGGATGTGTCTATGGAGCGTCCATGACCTTTCCTTGTACAAGTTGTGCTGGCTTCCCCAGTATTCTGTACTGTTTTGCCCTTCACCAACGTTACCACTTACCTATTGTCTATTTAGTTCCCCCACCACCACCTCTCCCATCCCTCGTAACCAACAAAGATAAGGCTCATCTTTATAATTTTCATGGCTAATGTGCTGTTCTTCTGTCCGTTTCTGAGACTGATACTTCTTTAACCACTGTTCAAATGGATCGGCACTTTGTCATTGCAGGAAGTCCATCTGGCCACGCAATGGGCTCATCGTGTGTCTGGTATGTCATGGTAACGGCTGCCCTGAGCTACACTGTCAGTCGGCTGGATAAGTCGTCTATCACTCTGCACAGGTCAGCTTTGTTCCAGTTTCTGTAACATTGGGATATGACAATTTTGAATTCAGAAAGTCTTTTTTTTTTTTTTTAGTTTTTTTTAGTCGTTGCAAGGTGCTTATTCTATTCTGAGCCCAAATAGCGAAATGAAAAGAAAATTAATATTTTGCTTTAAGGTAATGTCCTAATTAGCTCACAGCTATTGCCACGTTATAGAATTGGAAATGTTTAATTGATTAATGACTTGCTAAATATGCCTTTGGGTTTCCATAATACAATAATAATTTTGTTATTTCATAAATAAATCATCTAAAATTATATAAGGGAGTGTTTTTGCATGCACATTGCCTTGCTTTAAGATTAACTAGAAGCTTTGAGCATCATCATTCCCCTTGAATACATCTGTTTATTTAGTAAAATTATGCTTCTTTCTTTGAATAGCCAATACTTTTGATATTAATAACATATATCCTAGCATTAAAGATTATGCAACCTTTTTAATTAAAAACACTCCAGAGGCAAACTTAAATTTAATGTTAGGAGATTTAATGTTAATAGATTTCTAACGCTTAGAAAGGCCTAGAAGTATAATTTAAAATTGCTCACATATTTTTGTAGGAATTTGGCTGTTTTCTTCTCTTCTTTCCTGCACTCTTTTAACTATCATTAAAACAATCCTGAGCACTACAAATGATAAATTATAGGCTACCTGATACAAGATTTGTCAGTTAATCTCTTAAAAGTACTATATATGTATCATTATACAAAAGTTCTTATAAAATTAAAAATTTCCAAGATCCATCACATGTTCCACTTTTTAGAGTAATATTGGATAGTATAAGAAAAAAATGACCAAAGGAATGTGGGCAACTTTAAAGTGTACTCTAATGAGGCAGTGACCTGTATGACTTAATATACTCACTATTCAATCCAGAAAAACAACAGTAGAAAGTTGTTGTAATTTGAAGAAAATAGCATTTTCTGTCCATAGACAATTTTTCAAAGTAGGATTTGAAAAGCCTCACTTCTTCTCTGTAGTTTATTCCTTTCTCCATCACCAAACTTGGAAAATTACTTGTTTCTTCTGAAAAAAAAAACACAACTCATAACTCCTTTCTTATTTCTATAACCGCAATATTTCCTTCATTCATCAAAATTTATTGAATACCTAGTCCTTACCTGTTATTACCAAATCCTTATTTATTCTTCTTCCACATGGGTAACCCCAGTTTACTTCCTCTTTGAAAGTCTCATTTATCCATACTCGTTTTACCCATTAATGTCGAGTTGATTCTGACTCACAGCTTCCCTATAGGACAGAGTAGAACTGCCTCTTAGGGCTTCCAAGGAGCAGCTGGTGGATTCAACCTGCGGACCTTTTGGTTAGCAGTCGTATCACTTAACCACTGGGCCACCAGGGCTCCCATTTATATATATTCCTTAGTTTTTCTATAACCAAATCTTGGGCTGATTATCATGTAACCTTGATAATTCATTCAGACCCTCCTCCCCACCCTGGGCAAGGATTCCCAGAACACAGTATTGCTAATTGTTACTTTTTATAAAGATGAATAATACTCGAATTTTGTTATTTTTATAAGTTTGCATGCCTCGCTGTTTCCAATCCAAAGTACATAACCTATAGGTCAATTTCCTTGTTCCTTATTTTCTATACCTCAAAAAACAAGGAACCAGGACTTTTGCAAACCTGTGGAATTAAACCCAATGAAATCTTGCCCTTGATGGAATGCTCACAGAGTTTTCATCAGGGTAGCATCTACTCCGTCAGAGAGTTTTCTTCACACAAAGAAAGATTAAGAGAGGAGGGTAAAGAGGAAGTCCACGTGACGGGTAAAAACACATATCGTTCATTTTGGATCATTTGGGATATTAGTAATTCCCCCAAACTTGAATTTCCCCTGCTCCATTAAAATAATTATCAGAATGTCAAACTGTCTCCCTTTTATAGCATTTATTAAAATCTAAAGATACAGCATTAGTAAAGTTTAATGCACTGATAAATATAGAAGTCTTTCTAGTAAAGCCTTTCAAATTCCACTCAGCACAAAAAACAGAATTTGGGGGAGAAAAAAGAAAAGACTCCAGAAGCATGATGCTATGTCAGAGCCCCAAGGTCCCTCTAAGAAAGATCTAGTGTCGTCCCCTAATTTTATGAGTGATACAATTTCTCTGCTTTTTACACTTGTATCTATTCTTCCACCGTAGACTGACCTGGTCATTTCTTTGGAGTCTTTTTTGGTTGATTCAAATCAGTGTCTGCATCTCCAGAGTATTCATAGCAACACACTTTCCTCATCAAGTTATTCTTGGAGTAATTGGTGGTAAATATGATCACTTCTCTTTAGTTGTGTCATTTGAAAGCTTTGGCTTCATTTGTTTTATGTTGTTAGATTCTCCCTGGTAATCAGTTTTCCAATTTGAGGTAATTCTGTCAAGCCACTGATACTAATGCTACCCTGGGAGCTTAAGTGGTTCAACAGGCCTCTCATATCTTCGTGTATACAATGGCACAGTGTCACTCGATGGTGTAAATGCATTGCCTCTTAATGAGATGTCTTCTCTGAAGTGTGATTAGAGCTAAGCCCAACTCCCAAACCACCACTTCAGACAGCATGCTTGTGTCTTGGTTTCAGTGACTTCATAAAGACCCTCCAAGCTGCACATCATGCCGCTCTCTCTGAAACATCTAAAGCAATAATTACATGACTGTGGACCTCACTGAGCAGCTGCTTTGTATTCCTGAAGCAGGGTTCATCATGATTGGATTTCTGCTGTTCAGCCCCTCTCATCTTTCAAAGGCTCTCTAGGTTAATTGGCCATGGTGATTGGAAAATTAATTGCAAGCCCATAGAAAGGTGCTTTGTCCATAAAGTGGGTTGTCACTCAGCACCACTGACTCCTGAACAATCCGTCTGTGCTAATATGGGTGGTGAAAAGGCCATTGGGGCAAGTATGCTTTAGTTATTGCCTCAAGAAAAGGCTTTGGAAAATTGATAGAACCTAGGTGTCTAAGCACTTCATCATTGAAAGCTATGGCTATACTCTTTATGCATAAAGGAGTGATTCCTGAGAGGCTCAAGAGCACATAGTCATCTTCAGTGTCTCTTTCTAATCCCCAGGCATGCTTGTGGCAGAGGCCTTTGAACACACTCCAGGTATCCAAACAGCCAGCCTGAGCACATACCTGAAGACCAACCTTTTCCTCTTCCTGTTTGCACTTGGCTTTTACCTACTTCTCAGCCTGCTTGACATTGACCTGCTATGGTCTGTTCCCATAGCCAAAAAGTGGTGTGCCAACCCTGACTGGATCCACATCGACACCACACCTTTTGCTGGACTCGTGAGAAACCTTGGGGTCCTTTTTGGCTTGGGCTTTGCAATCAACTCTGAGATGTTCCTTATGAGCTGCCAAGGGGAAAATGGCTACAAGCTGAGCTTCCGGATGCTCTGTGCGATTACCTCATTGACCACACTACAGCTCTACCGTTTCATCAAGATCCCCACTCACACAGAACATTTATTTTATGTGCTGTCTTTCTGTAAAAGTGCATCCATTCCACTGACTGTGGTTGCTTTCATTCCCTACTGCATTCACATGTTAATGAAACCAAGTGAAAAGAAGATTAATTAGAGTTGTGTAGAATTAGTGCTCTTCCGTCCCATGATAACCCTGTTTTTCCATCCACCAGTAGAATCACAGAGCAAAGATAGACTCTAGAGGGCTTCCAATCAGAGGTCACAAAAATGGCAGCCATGGGCCCCATCTTCCACACACATATGTTTAGTTTGGCCTTCACAGTGTTTTGTCTTTGTTTTTTTTTTTTTTTTTGGTTTTGTTTTCTATTTTAAATTAGCTGCCAGTACTTAAAGATCAGAGTATTTCACATAAAATATGAATTTCTGTATCTTCTTGAACAATATGAAGATATGGCAGTAAGGGCCTACATTCGTACCCTGAGACAATTGACTAGAGCTGAATACTAATTGTCCCCAATAAGGTCAAGCAGTCTGCACTGTATCACAGCACTCCAACAAAAGCCCCAGTATCAGATGCCTTTGCTATCTTAAGGCCAGGACACTTCTGGCTACTGTGAGCATTTTAATGGGGACTTCTGCCAAATCCAGTTTGCTCAGTTTTCAGATGAGAAAATGGAGATCCATTCAGGTGAAGAACTTGCCCATAATAGTGTGCCGGCAGAGTAGGAATTAGAACCAAGTCTCCTCACGTGTATTTCCATTACACCGTGTTTTGTTTCTTCATTTCCAAGACGTAAAAATCAGCAAAAGTGAATGTTTTGATACAGATTCTATGACAATTGCCATTTAAATCAGCTATTATGTCAGAAATGGCATTAAAATGCTACATCCTATTTGACTTACTTTGTAGTCTGTTTCTTTGGAGTATATTTAACATCCACCTGCCTGCAGGATCTTGATGGGGCCAGCAATGCCTCTAGATGTGGATATGTAAGCACATCCAGGGGAAACGCAAAGGGCCAGGCCACTGTCTGGGATTGAACCTCTGCTTAATGCCTGGGCTCTGTATTATAGTAGTGTTTTCCAATATTTCAATAAATGCTGCTGAAGATACTCTGCTTAGAACATTACTTACCCAAAATGTCTTATCTCTTCACTATGACATCTCTATATTTTATTTTTACAGTAGTCAATCCTTCAAAACCAGGGAAATCAAGTATCTTTCTCAAGGTCATGTTCCAACCCAGAAAAAATTATTAAATACCTATATCTTTTAGCTGGGTTAATCTTTATTTATATGGAACTGTGATGAAAATTTACAGCTTTACTTTAGAAAATTACTATTGATGGAATATTAATATTATACTAAAAATTTATCAATAAGGGTTTTCCCACCCCCCCTCATTGGATCTAGTAATTTTGGACTTTAAATTGATAACCATTTGATTTCAATCGAGTACATTTTAGGTCAGATTTTGGTACATATTTTATGATCTGTGATCCACCACGATGTTTTATGTTACTCTACTCAAGAATATCAATACGTGAATTATTTTAGATGAGATGTTAAATAACCCATAGATATTTGTGAAAACATACAAGTTCAAGCGAGTGCTACTTGACAAGATATTAGTTGAGGATAATAAAGCCTCTTAAAATCAAAGTGATTATTACTCCTTTCCAAGTGTATTTATAGAGTGTATACTGTTGCTTTTTGAAAACACACTTAATAGCTTTCTTTTTAAAAGATAATTGAACTTATTTCAGTGGTTGAGTGATTCTCAAGAAAAAACGTGAAGAATCAAGAACAATTACCTTAAGAATGAAATTTGCCTTATGTTGGTAGGACATTTGAGGTAGAAGAAATAGAGAAGAAAGGTTTTTAAGGTGATGACCCTTGCTTATTTGGTCAACCCTGTGTTGTACCTTAGAAAGGCCCTTCAGCCCTTCAGAGCCTTTGTCAAGGTTTCATATGAGATCAGCAATGTTATTCCTGAAGAAGCCTCTGTCCCAATACAATCTCAATCTGCTCTCACCGAAACCTGAGGAAACTGGGGAGATGAACAGTTAGGAAATTTTGCTGCAGTGCTTGACTCCACCATAAATCCCCTCTTAGTTCCCATAGAGAAGCTCTCTTATCTGCCACCGCACAGTGAGTGCTGACTGTTGGGCAAACTATGACCGTCAGAGGGGGAATAGGATGAGGCTTGGGCTCATTTTCTATAATTAATCCCCAACAACCCTACCCCTGTCTTACTATAAAGCCTCAGAGTTCCCATGTGATGAGATTTCCGTTTTTCCTCTAGTTGAAGTCTCCTTGAGGGATCCGTATGGTGGGAAATTGCTTTTGCAATTGAAACTCTTCAGGCAGTAAGAACAGCTTCTCACACTTCTCATTGGAGAAAATACCTGCCTTTAATAATGATGGAAAAGAGTCTCCCAATTCCAATTTATTTGTCAGAAGTAAATGGAATCAAACTCATTTGACTTACTGCTACTGTATCCATATATTCAAAATGTCCACACATCTATATTCACGAGGAAAAATGTCAATATCATGAGCTATCAGGATAATTTTGAGACGAGTGATTTGAGAAGCTGTCCAATCACACATACATTTTAAAAGAAATGCAAAGTGATTTGTTATTGCTGAAACTAGCTATCAAGGAGAATGTTGAGTCCCTTTCCTTTGACAGCCCATTGACTAGACATCTGCCTTAGAAGTTTAAATTGGTGCCTTCTCTGACCTATTTAAGAAAGGCAGTTAAAAAAAATTTGTTATTAGATGTCCTTAAAACTCAAAGTTATATCTCTAAATGCTTTATATTTATTGAAAATCTGGAAATATAGTCAAGATCGAATTGCAACATACACGTACAAAAAAAATCTTGGTATAAGAGAAAGTCAAAAGATTTAATTTTGAAAGTTTGATTCATGTGTAAATATATTAGGACTTTATGTTCTAGCACTTTCCAATTGAACTTTTTAGGGTGATGGCAACGTTCTTTTATGTATACTGCCCAGTACAGTAGCCACTAACCACATGTGGCTATTAAACACTTGATATACAGCCAGTGCAACTGAGAAGTTATATTTTATTTACTTTTAATGAATTTAAATTTAAATAGGCATGTGGCTATTGAATTGGACAGCACATATCAATTCTCACAATGCTTTTCCCTGAAAAAAAAATTTTTTTTGTATATTGTCGCCTATATTGCATCCCTGTGAGACACTATGAGTAGATATTAACCACTTTATTTTACAGAAGGAGAAAGTGAGATATCGGTGATTTGTTGATACAACTTGGACAAGGTACGTTTACCCCAGCCCAGAGCTCTTTCTTTTAGCCTAGGGATGTTATTTTCCAAATGGAAAAATAAGTGATTATTAACAAGGCATAAGACATGCATGCTATAGGTAAATCACACTGTCATCTTTATACATTCTTTTACTTTTTTTTTTATTGTACTCCAGGTGAAGGCTTACAGAACAAATAGTTTCTCATAAAACAGTAGTACACATATTGTTCTACGACATTGGTTAACAACCCCACAACATGTCAATCCTCTCCCTTCTCGACCTTTTTTTTTTTTTGGTGAAAATATACGTAGCCAAAGATACACCATTTCAAAAATTTCTACACGCACAGTTCAGTGACATCCACTACACTCTTTCAATTGTGCTGCTATTCTCACTTTAGATGAAGGCTTACAGAACAAAATAGTATCTCATTTAACAGTTAGTACACATGTTGCCCTATGACAATGGTTAACAACCTCACAACACATCAACACTACCCTTACTCAACCTTGGGTTCCCTATCACCAACTTCCTTGTCCCCTTCTGCCTTCTGGCCCTTGTCCCTGGACTGTTGTACCTCATTAGTCCCATTTGGTTTTATGGGGCTGTCCACTCCCCGGCTGAACGGTGAACCTCGGAGGTGACCTCATCACCACTGAGCTAAAAGGGTGTCTGGGGGCCATACTCTCGGGGTTTCTCCAGTCTCCTTTAGGCCAGTAAATCTGGTCTTTTTTTTGTGAGTTAAAAT